CCCCAAAACCCCAAAACCCCTTATATCTATTATTGATCTAATCTAAGAAACAATGAAAATTAATATAATGAAATCAATTGTTTATATTGAAGAAAATACATAATTATTTAACTCACATAATCATTGAGTCTGAAATGAATTCAGTCATAATAGGGTCCTCATTCATTTCTAGGTCAATGCTGCTTGGTATCACCATTTAAATTCTCTTTTTCTTCTACTCCTCAACTTACTAGGTATTAAGTGTTAAATCTTCCATCTCTTTCATTGCACTCATCTTTAAATTATTTTTTTCAATGCATTTAGCAAGTGCCCCCTTTTGCGTAGTCAATTTACCTTTTGTATAAGGGGATCTAGTAGTAATTTAAATTTTGATAGGGGTTTTAGATTTGATGTCTGAGGATTTTTACTAATAATTCCTGGTTTTCTTATTAGGGGTAATCATCATTTAATTATTTTACTCTACTTCTTTATTTTCACTTTGTTGCTATATATTCGAGTTTTTCTGCTTTTCAAACTCAATTTAAAAATTTTGAATCACTCCATTTGGTTTTTAGACTTTTTCCTCTTCTTCGTCAAGTTACTTCAATTTCAATTTCAATGTTCTCCTAGTTTCTCTTAAGTTTGAATTTTATTAACCTTTTGGTGTAGTGTAAGTTGTAATTTACTCGCATTTCTAAGGTCTTATCTGATCGATTAACTTAATACTATCTTAAGACTATAAAATTTTTTGTGATTTAATCTGCTTTTCAATCTAATATTGCTTTAAGAATGACCTTTTCTATCTTTTTTATTAGATTTATTCTTAGTCTGCATTCTGCTATTACATGTTTAAGGTGTTCGATTGACAATCAGTTTTAATTTTAACTTTCTTTAGATCCTTTTTTAATTTTGCAGACTCTGTAACATCAATAATGCTATTAGATTCACTCATGTTTTCCAATGCCTAAACAACTTGGCTATGAGGAATAAGCATACTACTCTCATTTTAAGATTGCTAGAAGTTTACACATCCGCATTTGAAGCTAACTTTGACATTTTACTTGCAGAACTTCTCGCACTATAAGTCAATCTGTGATTTTTAGATCTACAACTAGGTCATGATTTTCTAAGACAATTAGATTTCTTGGATTATACATGCTGAGCAGAAGCTATATATTTTATTGCTGCTTTAATTTGTTGAGTTTTGCAATAGAAAGAGGTCTTTCTCGCACATATAACAAAATTATTGATAAGTGCTGCTTCCTTGCTCATTTTTATCATTACCTGCTTAACCTTAGTTTTTCATGATCTCAACCATTCTACGATCTTTGTTCTAGATCATCCTTTCTTTTTATTTCAAAATAACCTCAAGATCCGCTATCTTGTCCTACATTTATTTAATTTCTAAATTTTAAGCCTAAAATGTCTTATTTTGATTTCCAAATAAAACTAGTTGATTGGAGTTCTCCTTTGAACTCTTAAGACTTTATTTTTTGCTGCGCTTGTTTGGTTTTATATTAGAAGAGCAGGTTGAGCATTCTGAAGTACCTTCAATTACTTTATTTTAACAACAGATTGAGCATATATTGGGATAGTTGGTATTTTGTAATGGATTGTCATTAACTGAGTAGGATTTAGTCATATCTGTTTTAATTCTCTTCTAAAGATTATTCCCTGTACCGATTAGGCAATCCATATTCCTCACATATCTATCCTACAAAAATTTAGACTCCATTTATTCATCTTATCCAATATTCTATGGTCCAAAAGTAGAGTCAATAGCTACATTTTTATTTCTTTATTGATCAGCTTTTTGACAATTTCTAATTAGATGTGACTCCATTGCAGTAGGACTTATCATCACTTGGCAATAATCACAAGCGATAGGTTTCTGATTGCATTTTATCTAATGAGAGAGCTTACCTTATCCAATAATGATCTTATTACAATAGGTGCATTTGTATTTCTTTTTTTGACAGTCGTTATGCTACTCAGGATCTACTATTTCAAAGTAAGTCATAAAGCTTTCACAGCCTTTGATTTTACAATGGAACTTTAAAACTTCATAGAAGCACTCAATATTAACGTGAGAATCTTTAATGTCTCTCAGTTATCCGTCTTAACAGCACGGAGTTTTTTTATCTTTTGATAGATTAGACCATTAAAAGTCCTTAAAGCAATTTTGACAAATTTTAGAAGTACATTTTAAGCATGAATATCCTGAGTCTAGATTTACTATTCCATAGCATACTTTGCACTGAAGTTGATTCAGGATAGCATCCAATTTTTTCCTATTCTTGGTTCCTTTTTTGTTTTTAAATAAGTATATTTCTGGTATGCAAGTCTTGAATTGCTCTTCATACCTGTTCTCAATCTCGACAAATTAGCCTTGATTTATCATAATTGAAGTTTCTCTATTCGTAGAAAGATTTATTAGAATATATTAATTAATAATAACAGTTGTCTTAAATTTCTTATAAATATTAAATTAATTAAAAATTTTAATACAATTGTTTATTTTTCTATTATTTGCAAATGACGGGGTTTTGGGGTTTTGGGG